AAATAGATGGTTTACCTATTAATAGCATGGTGATTTTCCATGGCTATGTTAAATAACCAGATGATTGAAGGATTTTTAACCATCAAATGAGGATTCACACTCTGATATGTAACCCAGAATCCAACTATATCCAACTACGAAGGGTTGGACGATGTTGGACATATCCGAAATCTTCCAAACTTGCTGTCTCTGGTTTCCTCATTGGATCCATCACTGTATAGGTTTATGATGGTTTATCATGGTCTATGATGGTTTATGATGGTTTATGATGGTTTATGATGGTCTGTGATGGTTTATGATGGTTTATGATGGTTTATGATGGTTTGTGCAAATGTGATGTGATTCCCACTTCACCAATATGTTTGAGACTGAAAGAGAGCCCCTGTATCAAGACTGCACGTTTGGAGCGTCAACGAGATCGGCGATTCTCTCGATCTGACGCTTCCAAACATAAATGTTTGTTTTATTTTTCCAGATTGACTCTTGCGAGTTGCTTGGAATGAATAAGCAAATCATGGCAAAACCAAGTCTAAATTTCTTTGGGATCTGGCGGTGCACCCACATATATGCTTTGGGGTTTCTGTTTTTAGAGATGTGATAGGATCGTAGGATAGTAACTACTGAGGTATTGAGCCAGCTGCGGTCTGCAGGGACCTCAGGTCTAAACAATGCCACTCCGGACAATTAAGTTTGGTGAATTTCCAACAAGAGTCTGGCATGGGTGCAACACCAAACCAACAGTGTTGCTGGCATTTTAGTTGTAGGGTTTCGGAAGCATGTCTTTCTACTGAAATCATTCCAGGCTGCAAGGGGCAAGGGGGATGCTTTGGTGCTGAGGTGACAAGGCATCGGTGCCAGAGGTGTGGTGGGGCAGGGTGACGAAACATACACCTATGACATCAAAGACTTGAATTTATCCGATGACTTTGACAGTCCAAAGAATTGGTTGTTGTGAACAACCCGAAACTAGCTTAATTATACTTATGCTTAATTGCTCCTTGGATCTCCTTGGCACAATGCTGGATGTCCATGTCGGAGTACTTTCTACCTGCGCCGCTACAGTAAGAGTTGTGACCCAATGGTGGGCATTTCACATCCCTGGGCGAGGCACATCACAATCATCTATTCCGAGGCCCAGCCCAGCGAACATGTCGGAAAGACAGGGAAGATCTTGAAATATCTTTGAACACAGAAAGATTGGTTTGGTACATCCAAAAATTTCAGTTCAATGTGGATTCAGATCAGATCAACCATTGGATTCAGGCTCAGATCTTTCCCAGTGCCTCGGCTGAAGCTCTTCATCGACACAGGTCGAAGCCCATCTGACTCCGCGGTGGACAGCAGAGGCACCGGGAGTCCGATAGTAGTGGTGTTGAGGTGTTGCGTCAGCTCAAGCAGTCGAGTGGGTCTTAGCATAGTACTTACTGTGTTGCCATGGTGATTTGTTTACAGACATGAGTGACTTACCTTGACTTACGCAATGATGTGGCCCTGACGGAATCTGCATGACTTTACACCAACGTGCTTGACTTAGCACGCAGGCCAAGTAGCTGAGAAGCTGAACCCGGAAAGTAAGCGTTTAAGATCAAGGGTTGATCACTCAAGCAGATATCGGTGCTTTGGTTATGTAATTAGCGGGATTCCAACGGCTCAAGAATCGCTCTGTGGCATACCTGGGATACGGGCAGATGGTTTCAGCATTTTTCAGCCTTGAGAACAGTCTGGGGCAGTTTCATAAGATTGCAACAGTGAGCATAAGCAAAAATCAGATTTTTCACCAGGTCTTAGATGGTTGCTCTCATGGTTCTTCTCATGTTTTTTCTGCATTTCTGATAACATTGCTATCATGCCACCAGCTGTTCTCTGGCAGGCAGCGATGCAAACGGGGTCTTCGCAAATGAGGTGAGGGTGTGGAGATACGTTCACTCCTTGTTGGTCATTGCAAACAAAAATAATCAATTTTACATACACCTTTTCCCAGTTGGAAAAATGACTCCAGCCTCCAGTTGACTGATGCTTCTAGATAATTTCCAGCCAAGTCCTCTGCACTTTCCTGACAATAAGTTCTCTCTCTCTCTATATATATATATTATATAATATAATCATATATATATATGAAAGTGATCTTTGATTCTACTTATGCATTCAAAAAAAACGTGGATGTGTCGGATGGTTTTGACATGTTTTGGCTCACACGTTCCAGTTTGACTAGCTTAGCAGTATTCTCATCCATATGTTGATATATTTGATATCCAACTGACTGTCAGTGTTGACGAGCGAGTCTTCATTACGAAACTGATGTTTCTTCAAATTGGTGTACCCAAAACCATCGGTTTCCCATTGTTTCCCTAGTAAAACATGTTTCATTTAGTGATTTTAGGTTTCCCCCATTGTAGGAATCCCCCAGTCTTCTGGTGGGAAGGCACAGTGGGCCATGAATCGGATGAATCTCCATCAACAAGGTGCTGCTGGGGTCAAGGCAGTACTGAAGATGCTGGAATTTTGGAGGTTCATTGGCACCCATGTTTGGTCCACATCCATTTGACACCCAACAATTCTTAAAAGCCTTCAAAACCGGCCCCCAGCTCCCAGGTTCCTGAGAAAAATGTGAGAAAGTCAGCAAACATCCCCATGTCCATCATGTCCCCCCGAACTGCAACAACTGCAGGTCGCGGTTTGCCCTTGGAGGACTCAATTGCCTCAGATGCCTTGACAGTGCAAGATGATGGTTCTGAGGGCAGTCGCTTGGATGAACATGGGGGAGCTATGCAAAAGAGCATGCCTCCGCTGGATCAGTTGATCCCAAGTAGTGGCGGTGCAAGGTCCAGAAATGGTCGTAATCAATGGTGATGACCAACTTTTTGATTTCCACTTCAAAGTTGAACAAAGACTGGCTGTGGTAGAAAGCCCTCAATTGTATACTGCATTTCAATGCATTTCAAGTTCCCTGCATTTGGAGACAGACCCTGGATTCCAAAATTAAGTGCTGCCACTGACTTTGAGACAGCACTGTTTTCCTCTCATTTCCTCCACGCACTTCCCTCAGGCTGCCCTGGAGACGCCACTGCTGCAACTTGTCACCAAAGATATGCAGTTTTCGTCGCTGATGTCGTGAACATTGGCAGTTACGGACCAAAAAAGGCAGGAAACAAACTGATGCGTGCCTAGAATGACACTGAATGACCCTGTGCACGCAGCCAACAAAAATGTGCAGTGACTGCCTCAAGCCATTGCAACCATTCCAGGTACGGTATGGTTATTTTCGTATCCCTGTGTCATATTTCAATAGTGAACCCCAAACATGAAGAAAATATCACGAGCCAAGCACCGGGCACGAAGGGTCATCGGTTATCCATTTCTCCAGTGATTCCCTAGGCTTATTTTTTTTGATGTCAAACCTGAGGTGTTCCTCCAATCAGAGCTGCAAGATGCGCTGGAGAGTGCGTTGGCGCAACATAGCCGCTCGATCATGAGCAACCCTGGAGGAAGCTGTCGATAACATCCTGCACGGAATGAAGAGGATTCTGATGCGGTTCATGCGTTTGTGTCCAAGTGGGTTTGTTTGAACATTGAGTATTCCCAAATTTGTTCGTTTCTCAGGTTATCATCATTTTCCCCACAAGCTCCCCATCTTGGGTATCCGGTATACCATACTCCTTTTTTGAGACATAGACAAGTGTGCCATACGCCTTGAAGCACTGAAGGTCCATCTGTGGGAAGTGCACCCTGCTGCTTGGCCATGGACAGGGGCCGGAGTAGCTAAGTTCAGAAGTTCCATCTGACTTTCTACCCTTTCATTTCAAGGGTGTTTCTTGTTGTGGCAGCGAATCCACTTACGCCAATTACGCAGGAGCTTGACATACAATTGCATGCAATTGTGCTCAAAGGAATATCTAGCCACGGCTCAAGCCTTTCTTACAGGCAATCAGATAGCATATGATAGCATGGTCCATCATGGACGAGTATGGTCGATCATGGTCCATCATCTTTCTCGCCCAACGACGTCCCTGACATTTCTTAGGCTTTTCTGCTGAACCGTAGTTTCTGTATGTTTCTGTAGTTTGAACGAAGAAGACTTTTGTGTTGACCCCAGAACCACTGGATTCACCGCATCCAGTTGTCGCTTGATTCGCAGAAGTCTATGGAAGTTCCTTGGTCCCAGCACAAAGTGACTAGTGCTGAATGTATCCAAACATCTGCAACCTGATACTTTCTACATGTTTCTACAATATTTTTAACTGGAATCTGCACTGCGGGTGTAATGCAAGCCACTTGAGTTAGGTTTCAGGATTGATAGTTTATGCATTGTAAGACTGCAGGAGGAAAGGGTGAGTCCACTCATTGGTCGAATGCGTTTGGAGTAGTGCTTGGACATCTTGGGATTCTGCAAAAGAGCAGGGTAGCATATGGTGGCATCCTACAATGCAGCCTTTGCGAACTTGATATCCGCACTAGGTCCATATTTGTCCCAAGATTGTTTCTTCTTTGTAGACTTCCAAAGATCAAGTCTTCTTCCGCATGCATGTGTTAGTGCTATGCCAATGTGCTTGAGAAAGGCCGAGAAAGAGCCGCGGCTGCAGTCTTGTTACCAAGGGGGATATAGTCCATGATATGATCCCATTATGTCCGCAATCTGTCCCTTGGATCCCTGACGGTGCGGACGAAGCGGATGAAGCGGATGAAGCGGATGAAGCGGATGAAGCCTCTGACATTTTGGTTTGAGCAAAAGCTTGAGGACTGCCAACATGACAGGTGGAGCTGTTTCCTTTCAACACCCGCCCAGGGGTTGATTTGAAACTCACAATATCTCACAATCCACAGCAACCAACAGGCCATTTTTTTTGATGTATTTTCATGCATGTGCAACTTTGTTATTTCTGAACATGGCGGCTCTGATTTAGCACACCACTCTCCAACGGAGCAGACTGTGAGAAATTCCAAAGTGCAGCTTGCACTAACACGGATGGATGTTTAATGCCGATTTGGAGACCTTCCACATTTACTGAAGTTGCTTGACAATTTTACAACATGGGCCACGCCATGGGAAGCACTTCAAACTTGGCCTTCGTCCTGCCTGAAAGCTTGCCACGGCTGGTGACCACAAGACAATCGACCAGGACTGGACATTTTCGCAGCCAATCCTGGGCCATCCTGGATGATTTCTAGCTGAAATGATTGACATGACGCTCTCTTCTACGTTGTTTGTGTGTTAGCGCATTTCACTACATATTAGCACTACATATTAGCACTGCATATTACACTTGTGGTGGTTTCACCAGCGGGTCGACGATTGACCCCGTCCCGACAACGCTGCAAGTGGTTTGATAACCAAAGCCATCTCACATCTGAACCACTCCATGCTTCGAGACATTTGAGTCTCTACTGCACTATGGTTTATGTTGATTCCAGACACCAAAAAATCTCAAACGTATTCAAAACTTATCAATATAAAATGGGCTAGCGCCCAGGTGCCGCCGACCCCCCTAATTGGAGGGGGGGTACTGGCAATCAACCTGGGGAGTATGATGTAGCACATGATCCCACATATATATATACCTGCATATCCATAAACCCACTTTTTTGTGGCCAAACGGTTTTGGCTAATTTTTGTGACCGTTTCGGATGTGGTCATTTTTTGGGGTCATAGATGGTCATAGTCATAGGATATTCCATTGTGGATTTTTTGGGGTCATAGATGGTCATAGGATATTCCATAGTGGGTTTAAGGAGATGCAGGAATGCATGCAACAAATGCAGAGAAATCACTCAAGTGCGGCCACTTCCGCGGCCATTTCCTTTTTTAAAGCACTGCCCCATGTGCTAGATCCCACACTTCAGCTTGGACCTCAGCGGTCTGAACTTGCCTGGCGTTTTTTGGAAATAGGTTTAAAAGCAGCTGCATACCCTTTGGATTCACAGCTCTTGGCCCAGATTCGCCTAGCACGCGTAAGATACCTCTGGAGTGTGCGTAGGCTATTAGTTACGGGTGAAACTCTTCGAGACAAGCGCGCGCACTGCCCTACAAAGTCCTCATTCATCTGGACCGTGTCAACAAGCGGTGATAAAACCCATTTGTTTTTGGCCGCTAAGGCCAGCAGTTTCCTCGCTGAATGGTCAAACATGTGAAGTTTCACAACCATAGGGAAGCGCAATCGGCGATCATTGTAGCAAATGTGGACCAATTCACAGTAGAGTTTGACAAATTGTCTTCCGAGCAAACCAATCTCAGCAGCTTGCGTAGATTCAAGCCACAAGCCACTTGTATAGAGTATGTGGAAAAATTTGTCTATGACCCTGAGCGCATCCAAGATACGACTGAGCACCTGGTTCCCTTCACATTCATTTGCCCGCTTTTCCAACCACCAAAGTAAAAAAGAATGGTAAACCCGAGTGTCATCAAATTTTGACCAGCTTGCATCAGGAAGTACCTGCATAGATGTCAAACCAATCCGCTCTTTACAGAAAGGCCCACTGTGTGGCATCCTATTGCCCTTCAAGCTTGCCCACTCCCGAAGTTGCTCAGCAAAGTGCTGAACTTTCACATCAAGGGACCCCTCCACCAAACACATGCACTCCACAATGGCTGAGGAAATGAAATACATTCCAAGTCCACCATGGTAGTTGTGAAACAGGTCTGGTCGAAACATCGTCTCGGGGAATGTTGGTGAATGGAACAAATGTAGCCATGGCGGTGGGAATTCCCAAGGGACCTTATTTGGGACCATTGACCACTGGCAATTCCAGTTGCAGTCTTCCCAAGGCCCGCCATCATCTGTCCCTCCCAGGCATAGCCAGCAAATCCCTGGAAGTGGTTTCGAACGACTTTTTGTTTCTTTTCTGGGGGCCCGTAGCCAGTGGCGCACAAAATTTCCAGTTTTGGCTAGAAATAGCATGTCCCCTTTGATGCCGATCACAATCAAATGCCACCGTTCTCCGCGGTATTGGAAACCGCCCTGGAGACGTAGGAGGTCCTCTGTCAAGTGTCTCGTCAATGACACCAAATTTTCCTGGCAGAGAGCCCGCCCCACACAAGACAGATCTGATCAAACATTGTAGCAGCACAAAACCCCTTGAGGGAAGGTTGGAAACAAAAAAACATGTAAAGTGCACATTTAGCTTCGGGGTATTTCGGGGTTTTGGTTGTAGCACTTCCTTTGCATAGCTGCACACAGGAAACGACTGCAAAATGAGTGACCACCAATATTCACTCCCATTGTGGGCTTCTTTGTTTTTTCTGCGTTCTTCACCACAAATGGCCGAGCGCCTTTTCCAACCACTCCTTCAAAAGAGATGAGCATAATTCCTTTTCGTTTGAAATTGCGGCCCTCATCACCATGGACCATAATTGGCACTGACCTTGACAATGAGACTTGCCCAGCTTGGTTTTCTGAAAAAACTTGGTGGTCCGGAACTTCTTTTTGCAAATCGGCTCCAAAACTCCAACAGTACAGGCTGTATAGTTTCTAATGGCTCTTCACCAAACAGTTTCTCAAAGTTCCCACTTTGGCACAGGTAGTTTACAACGTCACTAGGCTTCAGAATCGGAAAGAGTTGGTCATCTTCTGCTGCAGTAGCCAGGGGCACCCAAGAGATGGGCACATTCAGAGACAAATCGTTCTCTTGGAACCTTACACTCATGATGCAGCACATGGAAAAAACTGCAACAACGATAGTAAAAAGAGAAGGGAAAACCCAGTCAAGAAACACACGGTGGCAAGCGTCATCACCTCTTTTCTCTGCAGTTTTCGACAACTTGTTCGTGACAGGGCACTTGGCACTGCCTCCATACTGGCTTGCAGCCGCCTTCGACATTTGCACCACTGATGTTGCAGACGCCTTAGCAGCACATGCAATAAAACAGAGCCCCAATTTTCAAATTCAAACAGCTCATGAAAATTGGCAAGAAGTTGTTGTTTCACTTCTGCGATGCTTGCCCCACCCCGATCACTCAAGCAAAGCAATAAGTTCCGCATCGCTATCATCCTCATTGGAATGGCGTGAATCATTGAAAGATTCATCATCTAAAGCTGGCTGTGCAGAAGCACGCTCTGAAAATAAAACTCCGGTAATCTATAACTCAGGAGATGAATGGCGCTGGCTGAGATCAGGTGTTGTTTGAACATCATCCTGGGCCAAGCTAGATTGATAAACAGCAACGCCTAAAGAAAAACCAAACAACATATAGGTATGCTTGAAGATTACAGTCCTCATCCCCGTAGTCGGTGGGGTCAAATGCTGCATCCGGGTGTACAGTAGGTCGGGAAACGCTTTGGCGCAAGCTCAATTCAAACCTAACAACAGAGGCTATGTGCACGCAAACGGCAGGGGCCACAGGGCTTGGTGCAACCGGCCGGCGGAGCATTTGGAGCATTTTAAGGGTTTGAAGCCTGGCAAACGGCAGGCTTGAACGCCCTAAGAACAGAGGCTATGTGCACGCAAACGGCAGGGGCCACAGGGCTTGGTGCAACCGGCCGGCGGAGCATTTGGAGCATTTTAAGGGTTTGAAGCCTGGCAAACGGCAGGCTTGAATGCCCTAAGAACAGAGTCCATGTGCAGGCAAACGGCAGGCTGCAACGCTGGAACAGCAGGGGCTCGCGGCCACAGGGCTTGGTGCAACCGGCCGGCGGAGCATTTTAAGCGTTGTAAAGTTTGAAGCTGGCAAACGGCAGGCTTGAATGCCCTAAGAACAGAGTCTATGTGCAGGCAAACGGCAGGCTGCAACGCTGGAACAGCAGGGGCTCGCGGCCACAGGGCTTGGTGCAACCGGCCGGCGGAGCATTTTAAGCGTTGTAAAGTTTGAAGCTGGCAAACGGCAGGCTTGAACGCCCGAAGAACAGAGGCTATGTGCAGGCAAACGGCAGGCTGCAACGCTGGAACAGCAGGGGCTCGCGGCCACAGGGCTTGGTGCAAAGGCCGGCGGAGCATTTAAGCAGTTTGAAAAAGCCAGGCTTTTAAGAACAGGTCTATGTGCAGGCAAACGGCAGGCTGCAACGCTGGAACAGCAGGGGCTCGCGGCCACAGGGCTTGGTGCAAAGGCCGGCGGCATTATAAGCATTTTAAGGGTTTGAAGCCTGGCAAACGGCAGGCTTGAACGCCCTAACAACAGAGGCTATGTGCACGCAAACGGCAGGGGCCACAGGGCTTGGTGCAACCGGCCGGCGGAGCATTTGGAGCATTTTAAGGGTTTGAAGCCTGGCAAACGGCAGGCTTGAATGCCCTAAGAACAGAGTGTATGTGCAGGCAAACGGCAGGCTGCAACGCTGGAACAGCAGGGGCTCGCGGCCACAGGGCTTGGTGCAACCGGCCGGCGGAGCATTTTAAGCGTTGTAAAGTTTGAAGCTGGCAAACGGCAGGCTTGAACGCCCGAAGAACAGAGGCTATGTGCAGGCAAACGGCAGGCTGCAACGCTGGAACAGCAGGGGCTCGCGGCCACAGGGCTTGGTGCAAAGGCCGGCGGAGCATTTTAAGCGCTGTAAAGTTTGAAGCTGGCAAACGGCAGGCTTGAACGCCCTAACAACAGAGGCTATGTGCACGCAAACGGCAGGGGCCACAGGGCTTGGTGCAACCGGCCGGCGGAGCATTTGGAGCATTTTAAGGGTTTGAAGCCTGGCAAACGGCAGGCTTGAACGCCCTAAGAACAGAGGCTATGTGCACGCAAACGGCAGGGGCCACAGGGCTTGGTGCAACCGGCCGGCGGAGCATTTGGAGCATTTTAAGGGTTTGAAGCCTGGCAAACGGCAGGCTTGAATGCCCTAAGAACAGAGTCCATGTGCAGGCAAACGGCAGGCTGCAACGCTGGAACAGCAGGGGCTCGCGGCCACAGGGCTTGGTGCAACCGGCCGGCGGAGCATTTTAAGCGTTGTAAAGTTTGAAGCTGGCAAACGGCAGGCTTGAATGCCCTAAGAACAGAGTCTATGTGCAGGCAAACGGCAGGCTGCAACGCTGGAACAGCAGGGGCTCGCGGCCACAGGGCTTGGTGCAAAGGCCGGCGGAGCATTTTAAGCGTTGTAAAGTTTGAAGCTGGCAAACGCCAGGCTTGAATGCCCTAAGAACAGAGTCTATGTGCAGGCAAACGGCAGGCTGCAACGCTGGAACAGCAGGGGCTCGCGGCCACAGGGCTTGGTGCAAAGGCCGGCGGAGCATTTTAAGCGTTGTAAAGTTTGAAGCTGGCAAACGGCAGGCTTGAACGCCCTAACAACAGAGGCTATGTACACGCAAACGGCAGGGGCCACAGGGCTTGGTGCAACCGGCCGGCGGAGCATTTGGAGCATTTTAAGGGTTTGAAGCCTGGCAAACGGCACGCTTGAACGCCCTAAGAACAGAGTCTATGTGCACGCAAACGGCAGGGGCCACAGGGCTTGGTGCAACCGGCCGGCGGAGCATTTGGAGCATTTTAAGGGTTTGAAGCCTGGCAAACGGCAGGCTTGAATGCCCTAAGAACAGAGTCTATGTGCAGGCAAACGGCAGGCTGCAACGCTGGAACAGCAGGGGCTCGCGGCCACAGGGCTTGGTGCAACCGGCCGGCGGAGCATTTTAAGCGTTGTAAAGTTTGAAGCTGGCAAACGGCAGGCTTGAACGCCCGAAGAACAGAGGCTATGTGCAGGCAAACGGCAGGCTGCAACGCTGGAACAGCAGGGGCTCGCGGCCACAGGGCTTGGTGCAAAGGCCGGCGGAGCATTTTAAGCGTTGTAAAGTTTGAAGCTGGCAAACGGCAGGCTTGAACGCCCTAACAACAGAGGCTATGTGCACGCAAACGGCAGGGGCCACAGGGCTTGGTGCAACCGGCCGGCGGAGCATTTGGAGCATTTTAAGAGTTTGAAGCCTGGCAAACGGCAGGCTTGAACGCCCTAAGAACAGAGTCTATGTGCACGCAAACGGCAGGGGCCACAGGGCTTGGTGCAACCGGCCGGCGGAGCATTTGGAGCATTTTAAGGGTTTGAAGCCTGGCAAACGGCAGGCTTGAATGCCCTAAGAACAGAGTCTATGTGCAGGCAAACGGCAGGCTGCAACGCTGGAACAGCAGGGGCTCGCGGCCACAGGGCTTGGTGCAACCGGCCGGCGGAGCATTTTAAGGGTTTGAAGCCTGGCAAACGGCAGGCTTGAACGCCCTAAGAACAGAGGCTATGTGCAGGCAAACGGCAGGCTGCAACGCTGGAACAGCAGGGGCTCGCGGCCACAGGGCTTGGTGCAAAGGCCGGCGGAGCAGTTTAAGCATTTGAAGGGAGCTATGCAGGCGAGGCTTACGGCCACAGGCCTGGGTGGAAGCCTTGGACAATGTCAAGGCCAAACGGCCACAGGCCTGGGTGGAAGCCTTGGACAATGTGAAGGCCATGGCCGTGACAAAGCAGGTTCCACACCTCCGGTGGTCCCAGGCGCCGCCCCTGCCTTGGCGAAGGCCGGGGTCGGCGGATATAGATTATATAGTCTATATATATATAGTATATATTTCAATAAATTTCTCTTTGATGCAATTTGTTAGTCCAAAAAACCTGTATCATTGGGTTCTCAAGCGTCGGTCGCAGGCCGCACCATGGCACGGTGCCTGGTGGCAGCGCCTCACAGTCGACCGCGTCTGCATCGACTGCGGCCTGGCTCTGTGCAGCCACGGTGGCCACGGTGGCCATGGCGCATCGGCGAGGCCGGGGGTGTGGACATGGCAGGTGAAAGATAGCCATGGAAAATGGCCCATTTATAGATGGTTTACCTGGGTTTACCTATTGAAAATGGTGATTTTCCATGGCTATGTTAAATAACCAGATGGTAATGGAGATTGATTGAAGATTGAACATTCAAGGTCAACTGAAGATTGAAGGTAGAATAGTTGAATGATGTGGAATGATGTTGAATGATGCTGAAATTTATATAAATTTATGAAATGAAGTATTTCGAAGTTCAAGTTGCTTCGGGAGATCCACAAGCAAAAGGCCTCACACATCTCCGTGCGGTCCCTTTTCAGGTTCGAAAGCCAGGGTTGTCAGCCCTGCTGTCCTGGATGGCACAGCGGATAATGCCCCGAAGGCAAGGTGCAGGAGTGGATTTGCGGTTCTCAATAGCCCAAGAGCTAGCAGCTAACATTATATAAGCTATTGTAGATATTCAAATAATATATTTTAGATTATTGGTTCTTAATTGTCTAAGATTTTACATTGTAGATATTCAAATAATATCAGCTAGCAGCTAACACATACCCACCTGGGGGTATAGAGAGAGCAAGGTATAAAGGCTAACGGTAACGGTATAGTGGTAGAAACCATATTTTGGTTGCCTGGAAGATATTTATTGATTATTATTATTATATTGCATAAGTGCTATAGTGCTTTGTTTTCATATGCAGAACCAATTGACTTGGCATTGTGTTGAGGGTGGATGCTTCACCAAGAAAAAGTGGGGTCCTTTGAAGGAAAGGTCCAACATTCTACTTGCATCATCTTGCATCTATTTTCTGCATAATTTGCATGTCGATGCATGGACACTTTTATGGTTTATCTGTTTATCCATCCTTAGTTCCCCCATTAGAATTGCTGATTGCTATTGTGACGTGACTTGATAGTACTGAATAGCACTTCAACTACCGTATAGTCGTAAACTGGTGGATTTGTGAGTTCTTAGACTCCAGGTAGTGTGACATTTGAAGTTCTAAGGGACTTCCTACCCTACGCTCTACACCTAACCTGGCCGGTGCTACGTTGATCATTTTCCAGATGAAGCGATGAAGGGACGCTTTGTCCACCAATGCGTCTCTCCAACTTGGGTGAATCGAAACATGTCTGGAACATTGGGCCACGATCCTCCAAATTGATGGGCTTCTGAAAAATCAGACATTATTGAAGGCTGTTGAACAGTATTGAATAGGCCCTATAATGTATCCCTAATTTTGTCCTATGGATTTTCGTGGATTTTCATGGGATTTTCTGTGGAAATCCGGGATGAAACATCGGATTCCCATTTGCTGAGCAGTTCCCAATAAACATCCCATGATTCAGACTCCGAGTTTCGCCCCGCAAGCGCTGCACAAAAAGGTGGTACTGATGGGCGACTCGGTGTTGGACAATTTCTTCTGGTGCCTCAGCTGCAATGGAATCCATCCTGATACCATACGAAAGATGTGGAATGATCATCAATGGTATAACTGCATGTATAATAACATATATTCATACATATTCTATATAAGATATAAATCATATATGATATAACATATTGGATATATTTGGATATTATGATTGATACAACATATTCTATAAACCATCCATTTGGATGATTATCAGTACTTGGGATTAGCCAATTGCCATGGAATCATCCCAGTCGTTGGATGGACGTGGGAATGACGACACCGAGGTTAGAGACGCCCAAGCGACACTTGCGGCTTCAGCTGCAAGATGCTCTGGCGAAGTCCCGGAATGCCAAGGCTCTGGCGATGTGTCGAGATGTGGGATGTGAAATATGTGAAATCAGAATGATGAGTAGATATTGGATGATATTAATTCAAATGATATCGGATGGGAAACCAAATGATATTGGATGATTAATTGGTAGTGTACCAAATGATAATAATAATTTTTTTAAAAAAATCATACCGATCCATTCCACCATATCTCATTGAGGTTTATTGTTGGGTCTGCATGGGTTTACCACAGTATCAGATTCCTGCTTTGAGACATGTTCGCATGCAAGATATAATAATAATATAAGGTATTAGACTGGAAGGTCTGCCATGGGTGATTCTAAGCTCTTGAAAAAGTTCTGGTTCCAGCCTTTGGCTGATAAATCCTGGAGGATGATTGACGATCAGGTGAAGCAGCTGAAATGCGTGAACTTGGCCGTGGACCAGACACTTTGATCACAGCTGCGGGCCGCAGGGTGGGTGGATCACTAACAAATCAAGGAAAAGGATGGAAAAAGACGAACAAATCTCATGTCATTCGTTTTTATTCTGTTGAGTCAGTTGAGGTGTGATTCTCATCCAAAGCTCGACCTCGGGCCTAGTTTCATCCTGTTGCTACTGGGAAATTTGCCGAGTTGAGCAAGATGCCAATTTGACTGTGGACACGGTGGACATTGTGGGCTTTGGCACCCCCTCACATACCTTGTCCTCCTGCACACATGCAAGTGATACGACACTGTCATTTGCCCCATTGAGCAATCAAGAACTTGGGTAATGTCAAGTTGCACCAACTTTTGCACCTTCTTTTCATGGCTGCATCCTTGACTTTGGCATTTGCACAGCACCAACTTCCTCATTGAAGCAAATCCCAGGATGACCACATTTGACTTTGTGGAACGAAAACCACAGGTGCCTTGGCACCGCAGTGCCGCACAGAGTAGCCAATCATTTTGGTTTGTTTATTTGTTTGATTTGTTTTGCTTTCAATCTTGTAATAAGAATAAACACACATGAATTGTCCAAATAGTAGATCTCACAGAATTTTGTGGCCACTTTGTTCTCCCTTTGCCCTAGATCTTGGAGATGTCCAAGCCCTATTTGTTCTGACGTCGTGCATAAGCAACAGGATAATCCATGGGACGTTTATGCCAAAGCTCGGAGAATGGTTGCATTTGAAGATGATGAGGCCGGTCACCCGACGATTGTCCCACACTAACTTCAACATTACTAAATATACCATCTGGTAATTTAACATAGCCATGGAACATCACCATTTTAATTGGTACTGTAAATCAACTATAAATGGCCATTTTCAATAGCTACGTTAAATTACCAGAGGGTAACCAACAAGTGATCATGTGCACTGAGTATCAGGAATGAGAGAAGAGGCCTTTGAAGTCCATAGGTTCTTGGTATTCAAGGAGACATAAACATTTCATACCATTCAGCCGACTTGATGTAAGATTGCCAAGCATGACCGGCAGGACAAAGAATATGTTGTTGATGGCGATGGTGTGATAAGATCTGTGGAAAATTTAAAGCAACTCAAGAACGTCAAGTGGGTTGTGCTGTCGCTCGGGGGCAACGACCCTTGGCCTTGCCGACATCGGAAGGATTCCCAAACTTCATGGCGGAGGTCTTGCGGGTCAATATTTCATGTTACAACATCAATAAATCTTGTTGGCTCTGGAGCGGTTGAAAACACATCAGGTCCAACTACCTGGGCCACTGGGCATGATGCTTCTGGTATGTTCTTCCCAGATTTTGCACTGCCTGGTGAAATGTGGAAGTGCAATTAGGATGTCTACTTGAATGCCGAAGTCAAGGGCAAGTTGGTGAGCTCATTGTTGCCTCAATCTGAAGGAAAACGCAAGGAGGCGAGGTTAGCTGGGCTCAGCTTTGCTGTGACCGTAGGACACTGAAAGGTGTTTTTCAAGAGTCGGCTGGAACTTGGGGACCAAATTGCAAGACATTGAATGCAAAACCATCAACAAAACCTATACATTTTTCTTTTTCAGAAAGTGCCAGAATGTCATTGGACCATTGGACTTGTGCAAGTCACAGACCAAGATTCCACAAGGCAAGCTGTGGCAGTGCAAATCGACTTCATCTTTAGTCTTGAGGATGGTTGATGGTAAAAATCAGAAACATTCATAAACCAACCATCCTCAACATCATATTCCAAGATGATTTCATATACCATCTATACCTCAACCATTGATATATCGGTAGCATCCAAGCAACTTGTTTTAGTTATCTCCCCGGCAGGTCGCTCAGGAGTTTGCCAAGCGCCTGAAAGGGGTCCTGGAGAAGGTACACCTGCCTTTCTTTCGTTTCTTTGTTGTAAAGGCAGCAAAATTCCCAAAATACCTCTAATATAATCAGCATCATGTGTTTGTATCTACTCAAACGATTTCAAATTTAACTATGCATCTAAATATACATATATATATATATCATTTTATATCTATATGCCTATATGTGTCATCAGAGAGAATCGCACGTATTTGATGATGTACAATGTACAATGTACAATGTACAATGTACAATGTACAAGGTACAATGTACAATGTACAAGGTACAATGTACAATGTACAATCACAATACATACATACATACATACATACATACATACATGTATACAGTTATACATGTATACATGTACTATATCCAAACGCATATGATGCAAACATCGTTTTTTCATGTTATCTACCGGTTATCTATGCATGCTATCCCCCCATGGCCTGCCAAGAAAAAGGTGAAGGCTGGGGCCCCGGATGCGTCGTTGATATTGGTGGTGCCATACCAGCCACATCAGGACGAGCAATGCCTGGTTCATCCGTGGTTGATGGTGAGCAATGGAATGTCGTATCATTGGACGAATGGGTGGACCAAGAATGTTATAAAGGAATATATTATATATATAATATTATAAGTGGTTTAATGATGTTTAATGTTAGGATTACGGAGTCATCGAATCATTAATCAACTGGTAGGTATTGGGATGATACAGGTCACTGCGTGGTTCACAGATTGACCAAATGGCTTTGATGACCATGCTTTCTTTTTCTGTGCAACAAATGGTATATGCATATAGAATGTAGACTGACTCATATAGAGTATTTGATGACCAGTATCTAGATCGTTCCTTATGATAGATGCTTGATAGCGAATGGTTTATTTTTCTTAAAGTTTGGTGGATCTAGTTTCGGTCATTCTGGAAGCCAAAGGCCAATATAGAGGGGGCTACCCAGTGAGAGTGGCAAACTGCCAAGCAGCATTCGTGACAAAGCTCCGGTGGTTGAAGCTGCTGCCATCAGGATTTCTCGCTGATGATGGGTGCACCTATCAACGATGAGGGCAAGAGGATTTATGGCGATGCTTGACAGCATTGTAACACATTGCAACACATTGCGACCTATTTTCTCCGTGTTTCCGTTTCAAATGGCACTACCTCAGCATACCTCATCCCAGGAGGGGTTTGTTTAAGATTTTGTTTGTTTTGCTTGCTCCCCACCAGGTTCCAGACGATTTTGGATTGTGTTCCATAAACATTCCAAAAAAACATTCTTCATTCATTTCGTTCACCATTTGGCACCACTCAGGACATCTTGGGTGATGGCACGCGAGTTTTGGAACGTCAGCTGCTACCAGATTTGGTGAATCCCATGGTGATCGAGATGATCGCCCTTGGCTGCCTGACATCGGGAGATATAAATTTTGGGATGTTGAACCGGCAAATATTGTAATTATATATTACCCTCTGGTAAACTGCTACATAACTATGGAAAATCACCATCTTTAATGGGAAAAACCACTATTTCTATGGCCATTTTCAATAGCTATGTTAATTTACCAGAGGGTATATATAGGGTATAATATCTAATTACAATATATATATGAGGTACCCAATGACTGTCACACTAATAACTATTATATATATATAGGGTAATACACCAATGGCTGTTTGACTTCGGCTCAAGTCAGTACCATCTGCACCCCCCAGGGTCGATAGCATGCTGTCCAAATGTATCAATGGACAATACTTTCGAAGGAATTACCTCGTAATGCAGATGGGACATCCATTCACTCCATTGGTTTGTGGATTTTGAGGAGACGTGTGCAATTCTTGCGAACTCTTACTCTTGGACTCTTGACAACTTTTCAATCAACACTGCAATGTGGACAATTTGTCACAGCAATGAATCTATGAGACGCCTGAATCAGTGCAGTGATTTCCGTTTTCTTTTCATGAATCTTGTCTATCCATGTCTATCCTACCAAATGTGGTGAAATGTGGTGAATACATTTCTGACGCACCGCAGCTGCATCATCCAGGACGAGAGATGGGCTGTCCCATCATTGACTTATCGCAAACATTAGATCCCAGTAACGAGGACAGCTGGTGACACACTGGTGAAGAGCAACGTTTTTTTGGGTTTCTTGGCCCTTTTTGGGCCTTAAAGGCCTCAAACATCCTCCAACTGGTGGAGTCCTGGAATGCTTTTGACACATTTTGATAGTACACGACACATTGTCATAAATCTTGATGTAGTGACCATATAGTGACCATGCTTTATGTTCGGGACTCGTCACAAGATGAGCCGCTTTGACAACTTGATTTGTCCAGGAGCACTACGGAACAGGCGAAATTGGGAAGGTCAATGAACTGGGGACCCCATGGAGTGGCGCCGAACCATCTGACGCCCCTCGGCAACTGCTGGTCAGTGCTGGTCAGTTCATACCGTAGATATCATCCATTCGCAGAGGCCATGAGTGTTTGGCGAGGCGCTCATCACCGCATGGACAATCATGGAATGTATTATGTAATATATAATAATATATTATAATATATTATATATATGTATCTACAATATGTAGCATAATTACAGTGTATATATCAATTATATCACATATATATCACATATATATATATATATATATCACATACATTTTCTACATATTTCTGTATGGATTTTCCCATGTTTGACTTGTCAGGTCTCCAGTGACTTCACCGCGCAGCTCCTGGCGCACGCCATCGCTGAAGGCTCCAAGGCCTCGGTCTATCGTGGCCTTTGCCGCCAGGAGGCGCGAGCCAGCCGGCGGCAACGGATCCGCGGATCCGTTGCCGCGGCTCCCGGTGATTGAACGGTTAAAATAGTGGGTTATTATATGGTTATATCATGGTTATATAATAGTGGTTATATAATAGTGGATATATAATAGTGGATATTATATGGTTGTATTACATTATATGGTTAATGTAAAATGCACCATTGAAAAAAATAAGAGTGGATATGATAGTATATGTAATAGTACTTATTATTAATAATGCTAATAATGGATCTAGTGGTGAATACATACATGTTGATACTAGTACTTAACAATGTTGATAGTGAATATAGGCTGAGATAGTGGATTTTTTCATAGATGTGAATAATGGTGAATACCGTTTCATATCCTGGTTAGTTCATGGTTCATCATGTTTGATATTGTTTAATGGTCGATATGGCAATGGTTTGTCTGGAGGTTAGGTCTCACCGATACATGGGTTCATGATAGGGTTCATCATGATTAATAATTGGGTGAATCACTGGTCGGATACCCTCTGGTAAATTAACATAGACCCTGAAAATCACCAATTTTTAGAGGAAACTAATCTTCCAATCCCTATCTACCAGGGTCTATGTTAATTTACTGGAGGGTAAAACCAAGGGAGATCATGGTGATTTTTGCGAGATATCATTATGAAACACAAAGAAATTGACATGGCGTTGCCCAAAGTTTGGTGGAGTGTTGCATCCAATTTTATGATGGTTTCAAATGCCTATCAATGCCTATGGGGAGAACGATGACAAACCATTGGATGGCATGCTACGCCTATTAAGGCCTATTATTCTCCGACAAAGCCACGTCCATGTTAGTTGATACTGCAGGATCTGGTGCAGTTTGACCGACCCCCGGGACTGTTTCAGAAATGCTTCGAGGGTGCACCAGTAGATGGTATAGCTGGTGAGATTGGGTAGTGTGAACTTCAGAGATCGAAACAAAACAACAATTTGGCCAATCCTGAGGTTTAGCTGCAAATCGCAAGGTTTCATACATTTGCCAGCTTGGCAGCCTTGGCACTTGAGAAATTTTGGGGTCCATGGAGGGTCGGAGGCTACCAGGTCTTGATCCAAAGCCATCCATTTCATCCAAAGGAGAGAGGCTGGACTATGACTGTCAAAGAGGTGCGGCTGTTGCATGGTTGAAAGCTTCGAATCAGTACATTAGGTGCTTTCCATAAGAATCGAAGTCCAAATCAAAGGGATATCGGGATACCACAATGATGCAGGGGCTACCGGCCAGTCACAGCTAGAAATGAGGTCTGGATGATGTGAAACAACCAGCCATCACTACGATAGATTCTACTGTAGGCTCACTCAGCCCGAACATGCTGCAAGCATCCTCTAAAAATTAATTTGTGTCTATGGGTACTCACACTTCCAATCTTCGTAGAGATCCGTCGAACTTCAACGATTGATATCCTCCGTCATTTGATGTTCGCACATTTGAACTGTGGTGCCAGTTCAGTCCAGGAGAAAAATGACTGGATCTTTGAAAAGGACTACCGCTTCGGCGGGAAGCCAGTCTCATCCACCATCAGCCGGAAGAGACAAGGACGGAGCAGCTGCTGTTGACGCCGCCCTGTGGAGGATTTGACAGTATGGATGCTGATGCCCTCTGGCCCAACCTTGTTCTGAATTGGCATATGACTTGGCATGAGCATATATACATACTAGGTAGTCATAGATATTGCATGATATTGCTACATGCCACAGTTCCACCTTTGCCCGTTGAAGCTCTAAGCTATATTTAGGTGCTCAATACGCATTTTCCAATTGTGGACATTGACAAGAACGGGTGGCAAGTCGCAAATCTAGTGCCGTGCATAGCAAATCAGCAGCGACGTGGCAACATGGATTTCATTCCATATCAGTTTCCCAAATCCCAGTCCTGTGCATTTCGGTAGACTACAAACATCTAGAAACTCCGGAGAGAAAAGGGGCAAAAGCCCAAAGTCACTTGGCGTTTTTAAGCAAAGAGTTTCTGTGCCTTTTTTTTCCAGCTTTGTCAATAAGTCATAATAAGTCCACATGCTTCAGGAGGGGAGAAACCAATGTTCAAACTGGGAGCTTTTGATTCCTTCTTGGCTGGTGCTGGAGTGGTGATCCTCATCAATATTGCGCTGCTGCTTCAAGGCTCCCGGTGGTTGTGACGACACAGCCAGGAGCTGTCGTTGCGACACCACTTGGATGTAAAGATTCCAGCAGGAAGATGTAGAGGCATCCTTCTTACAAGTGAATTGCCATTTACCAAGCCATGAATCAAAGATAATCAAAGTGCATGGATCAGAACATGCGAGCACAGTCAGTCTCTTTCTAATGGATGTTCGATGATTTTGGAGGTTTGGTGTAAAATGGCATTTAATCTCACAACGGAAAATGAACGATCTCCCGGATTCAGCTCCCGCAAAAAGGTGGCAGTCCCCTTGGCTTTGACCGAGAAGAGTTCGAGCGACAACTGGAAAGTCAGGGCTTGAAGGTGATCCCCCCGGGGGATGTCTGGGATTTCTGTGGCATTCCGACTTTGGGACCTTTGGGCCCTTGGATGATTTGGATGATGGGAGGCCAAAGTTTGAAATGGCTCAGAACAATTGGAAAAATGGCGACCAGTTTTTCATCAGAGTAGTTGCAGCCACTGGAGAGATTTCTAGCTGGATACTGTCATCTCTTGTGCATTTTCCAGCCACTGACACTGCAAACCTGCACAGAAACATGAGGAATGCAATCATATCATATCATATCATATCATATCATATCATATCATAGGTGGAAAGCAAGCCGTGCTGTGTTTCTGATTTTGCGTGAGAAGACACCAACAAATCTCCTGTATCGTTGGGCAATTTTTTTCCATTTTTTTCCCAGACATGCGCATATTATTTTTCTGGGGAAGGACGACAAACAGACGAGATAATGTGAATATACAGTAGTTATATGAATGTTATCCCTTCGCTCCTTCCCTTTCAGCATAGAAACTAGGTGTCATCTCATGACATCTGAATACTTTGTGGGACCACCAAATCAGCTGACCATACTGCGATTCATTGTTTACGAAACTTTATAATGCTTTATACATAAGTGTGTCTCGGTGGGTTTCCCTACCCTGCGAGGTCAAGAAAACCTTTGACGATCCCCCTTGACACCAAATCCAAACGCATGTGCCATGAAGATATCGAATGGGTGATAGAAGGGCCGGACCCAAGATGTGCAGGAGAAGATCACTACAACTGCAACGGCATCAAAGACCACAACGTGACAACATCCTCATTCGACCGCTGAGCTGTTTTGTAGCTGATATGACCGCTGATCCCTGAAGTATGCGGATAGTCGAAACATGTCGAAACCCATCATCACTAAGTATGTGAAAGTCAGATGGGCAGCAGCTTGCATCGAGTCAAACATCTTCAGAGATCATCGACGTAGGATCTATTGCTTCGCTACACGAGCCACATAGAAAAAGATGCGAGGACCTGGGTGACAAAGCAGGATCGTGCACTGCGAACAGGGATGAGATGTGAAGAGACACAGAAATCTAAACTTCACCGCCTTTGAGAGTTGAAGGTGGTTTGCAAGCATGAGGTGTATGTCACACACCTAATATCGCATAATTAATTATATACAACCCACACACAGGTACTGCAGACAAATTGTCTTGTTGTGTCCTAGCCTATCATGTTAAGAGTTTGAGCATGAGGTAGGTAGTAGGTACCCATGGTGAAACGATGTGGGAATCAATACAGTGCATGATACGGTCGCTGTGATAGTCGATGAACATGGCCAAGTTCAAACTCATGGTAGCACCTGGCCCAAACGTGCATGCAATGTGCATCAATACATCTTGAGCTGAACCACAGGTGCAACCCAACTTATTTCAGTTCAGTTGATGGCAGCACATGGCTTGCAAGATCACAGAAGCTTGGATCACAGACTCCAGGGCAAAACAAGACCAATGGAAATGACTTTAAAAAGCTCAATCAATGTTGAACAAGACTGACATCCGGTTTAGTCACTGACTCAAGTGACTCAACACTACATGCTCAACTCCATTCTTAGGTCGACAAAGAATAGAAGAAAGCGATCACTGCACAAGTTACCCAAAAAAACTTCAGCGCATGGGGCAGTCCCGCAATGAGTGTCGCCAGTGGCCCAGAGACTCTGCTACCTCATCCACTTGACCAGACACGATCCTGCAAATCTTGTCGAAATTTGTCTAAGGTTGAAGTTGATGTTTCCTTTTTTAATGAATGGTAAAGAGAAGCCCAAGGGCATTTTTTTTGTTGGTGGTTGCTACCCAGATACCAACCTCGCTGAAGCTGAAACTGTTTGGTTCAAGCGAAGTGAGCTGAGGCTCTAAGGCCAGCATGGTGATCCTCCACATGACACTAGAATCTCACTAGAAGCTTGCACACCGGATATCGCGCTATCGGATATGCAAAGATCAGGCAGGATATACACAATAAACATACATAATATAATATATATATATATGATGTATATATATATATACATGAGATAGCCTTTTGCCAACTTCACTTGTGCTTTTCGTCTCAGGGCCAAGGTCAGAGAGTGTTTCTTGGATCCATTCGATCCATTCGATCCATTCGATCCATTCGCCATGGACAATTCTGCACTCACATCAACAACTCCTAGCGATGTGAAGCCAGAGCAGCTGCCTCAGCCTTCAGCTGCAAGTCAGTCATGGAGACGATAGGACCACTCTCCAACAGCACCATGGCACCCTGGCCAGGTCACAGGCCGATGCTGCACCCAAGGCCGGCCAATGAACAATTTTGAATCCTCACCTCTGGGGAAAGAGACACAGTGTATGGTGTGCACACTATGCCACTGTCATAACTGAAGGATACTGAAGGTATGATTAGAGACTGGCTGCTAATTTATTCTGGATGAAGGGATATTCATAATGGCCACATGAACAGAATATTGGTTGAATATTACAGAATCCCAAAATCTGCATCACCATCACAACAGAATCATAGACTTGGCTGACGATGACCATGGAGCGCATGGTAAACAGGCTCCCTCTGCTGCCAGTCACGAGGAGTACCTGGGGCTGAAAACTGGAGCTCAAGTCACAGTCCTGACACGGGGTGTACAGATCTCAACTCGATTCAACTCTTTTTACTGAACCAACAAAAAGGGACGCAGATGAAACTGGTGTAACATGGTGTAACCCGAAAGAGGGGTTCCAAAGTCATCGCCTACCTGGGGCAACACCGGAAAATCGCATCGATTGCGTGTTGTGAATGGCTGCAGTGTGGACAAATGGACCCTGATGGACCCAAGGAAAATTGCACAAGTGAGAGAATTAACCAATGCCACGCACCAGGCGCCGCTACGACATTTCGCTGTTTTTGTGTTCAGTCAAGTGTTCAGTCATAAGTTAAATCCCAACATAAGTGACACATGTGCTTTGCAAAGTGCCAGTTTTGCCATCACCTCCTGAGATGGTGAGGATGGGTAAGTACAAGACTTGGCAGTATTTTGGGTAGCTCTAACTGGTACTGCTGTGTCCCTGCAGGCGGCATTTCAAGCTCTCTTAACCTTCAATTGGGATGTGCAGATGGCCGTCGACAAGATTCTCAATGCACATGAGGCCATGCTGTAGTAGATTCTGTGGGACAAGACCCTCACGTCCCTGAAACCTGACGGACTCTCGCAGGTCCATCCATTGGGAAGCCATGTTCAATGTCAAGGGTGGGCTGGTGGATGTTCGTGCTTTGTTTCGCCCTCCCCTTCACCGCAGAGTGACGCTTGTTGACCAAGGCAACCAAGCAGGTGCTGAGCCAGCGGAATGCGAATCCACAGGCCTAGTGTAGCTATTGTTTCGATGGTGCCATCGTGTGAAGGAGTCGAAACGATGTTGATTGATACGAAATTTCTTCACAAATCCTAGACAGGTTGAAGGACACAACAGCCGTTTGAGTCCTTTGAGTGTCTCTTGCATCTTAATCTCACCCTCTCACTCTGCTCTCCCTCTCTTTATCACGCAGACACACTGGCTTTTGCTTTGAACTGGGTGATGCTGGAGGATGACACCGCCAGAACAAGTTTGTGTTTAAACACACGTATGCGTTTCTATCTTTTGCTACATATTCTGTCTTGCAGTCCTGCTCCACTTTCCAAAGACAAATTTCATCAAATTTCCATAATTCTACAGGCGTGTGGAGGTACGAATCATTTAAGGACCGATCATCAACACTGAAGCATGGAAACCAGAGAAGCACCCGACGAAGAATTGGATGATTTTCAATCCAAGATTAACATCCTGCTCCACCTCCAGATAAAGAATAACAGAGAGCACGTTTGTACCATTTTGTACCCATGCAAACCGGAGATTCAGGAACACTGTTGTATCTTTGGTTATCTTTGGCCTATGATATTAGTTGCATTCACTCAGACTTGGTTCCATATGGTTCCATATAGGAATGCACCCTTGTTTTCTCACATATCAATACCCGTGACATCCCTTGACCTTTCAGTGTGGGTTGGATATGTTTGGATCAGGTTCCACACTCTTCCACACTCTTTTGTAGTGTTTCCCCAAAGTTCACAAGGTCCATGGTCCAACACTCGAAGGCGAAAAGTCACCATCCACCACCGCTGCCAGCAACACCGGCCTGTTTGAAAGTCCAGCAAGCCACCTCCGCAGGAAAGCTTGTGGAATTTCTGGAGATCGTAGTGTTGGAGTTTGACAAGCAGCATGCAGACCCAAGATATATTCCAAATACTTAGAAACCAAGGAAAATATGTTTCTGTTGGGTCACGGTGTCGCTCGTGCCCGGGTGTTTGGCTCGCTTGTGCCTCGGGTCAGTGTGGGTCTGATCTTCCGTAGATGATTTGACTTCCAAGATCTAAGTTCGTTTTGAGCTACCCCACCGGTTTCCCATGGTTTCCCTGTTTCATCTTCCGTGCGATTGGGTGGTTTCCACAGGTACAACACGTGGTCCCGGTCTCAGTTGACGATATCGTTGGACCTCAAAAGATCGATGACATCAGATGTACCAACTGCCCAGACCATCCCAGCTCGGTAGTGCATGAACACTACTATATCTACTATGGATTACTACGGTATCATATGGTATCAGATATCACTGATACCACCCTTTCAGCAATGCGGAGTACCTTTCCGAGGTGTAGCGTTTACTTTGGAGAGAAAAGGTGACCCATGAACTTTCACGCAGTAGACCTCAGCACTAGATGAATTGGAATCTTCTGGAATTGATGCGAAGATCATCAGAGATCTACATCTTTTCAAAATGTTTGAAGTAGGTACATAATATGAATATATAATATATATATATATATACACATTATATTATAATATCAACTCATAGATATTTACTATATAATCATCATGAACTCACAATTTGCGGAGGACATTCGGTCGCCCCTGAGGTGGTGCCTGCCGTTCCCGGCGCGGTGAACGCCGTTGCCGTAGGCTGACGACTCGACATCCACTTGGGGATGGGTCGGACATCGTTGGTTTGTTACCTATGGACCCTATGGATTTATAATATGACTGGGGGAATAATCATCCAACCAGGTCCAACATGGTCCAACTAGCTATTTAATTTTAGGGTACCCTTGGGTCATCTTGGGTCGGGTTTCGACGATAGCCACTGAAAAATTGGAGAAGTTGTGTTTATTCAATGTGGAGTTTCCCCATCAACTCAGTTGTGTTGATTTCCAAACTTGCAGTTTCCAGGACAAGTTTGACATGGTTTGGCTCTGCGCGTGATTGTCACTGTTGGAGTTATCCCACACCGCAGAAGTTTTTCGGAAAATCTTACACTCAAGGAGTTTTGTGGAAGTCTATTGCTTTGCAACTGGTTCTATGCTTTGATGTCAAATCGCTGAGAAGGGGAACATCAGCCCGCTCCTCAGGGCGGTCCTCAGATCCTGTCCAATCTGTAGTACCCTTTTGATCCCTTTGGAAGCTTTCAAGCCCTGCCATGGCAAAGTCCCTAATGAACATTAATGAACTATGATCAACTGCTTTGCCCATTTTTTTTTCCAGGTGGACCGACTCCTCTCCCGATTCATCGGACGGACAGTGGGAATGCAGACCCTCTCGAGGGGTGGTGGGGATCTCAGAGGTTGAGGGCACCGTAGGTGATCAGTTTGGTATTTACGACACTGAGGACACTCAGGACTCTACATGGCTCCATTGATTTTTATGACATTCAAACCTTGCGGGCTCCTGTTTGTGAAACTTAACGGCTCCGGAGTGATAGGATACTGACATAGTCAAAGTATTTGCCAGTCGTGGTCTATCCCAGGGTTTGGGTTTGGATTGAGTCAATCGAAACTAATTTCTTCGGTACACTACTGGAGCATGCTCTGACATGTGAGTTCAGGGGTTTCAAGAGTTGATGCCATGGTGTAAGGACAGGCCCACATATCACACATGACGATTCCCCCATCTCCCCGAGGGTGGCAGACTTTCTGAAAGGTTTTCTCCAAGGATGCTTGGCGTTGATATCACTTTGGTGATTGGTTTTTATGTCCTGGGGGCTGTGTATCTTCCAAAGGTAGACATAATGTAGTTGCAGTATGTTTCAGTGATGTTTTAGAATTCCATAGAAATCCCATCTAGATCATCTAATCTAGGTGAAACATGGTGAAACTCCAACCAAACATGGTAACACTTTGATCATCATCTGCCTATCAACAAGTGATTTATATACATGTTTTTCCTGTAATTGATGATTTTGTTTAAAACAGTTTAGCAACATGTTTAGCACATGCGTGTCGTGTTGGTTTCAAGCAGATCCAAGGATGCTTCGGAGGCTGTGTCGTCGGCATTTGCAGCGCTTTTGTATGAGCCAAGGGCGACCGCCCTGCCCTGGCTGGAACGAGAATATATTCGCCTTCAACGTGCAGAGGTGTCTAGAGTCTAGTGACGTCTATATAGAGTGTGTGTGTGTGATCATCAGTGTGTGTCTGTGTAGTCAATTTGTAGGTTGGATGAGTCTGTACATGTCTGTACCATGTTTGTAATTACCCAAGTATTGATTTGGTCAGTTACTGCATATGAGCATGATCACAAACCAAATGTACTCCGGATTCATATAGTGTCACTCTAGATGATAGGATGATGCTACTAATAGTATGCCCTTCCGATGTTGGCAGCCATCACCATCAGCCTGGATTCACAGGTCGAGATGTACAAAGTGAAACGAGCAGTGCCCAGTCGATCCCTCACCGAATCGACGTGTTCACTGGGGCAGTCCCCTGGGCACAGCTCGGAAAAACGCCGACCGATCCACTGATGTTTTGAGCAGTGCACTGGCAAAAGGATGCGTCGTGCATCGTTGATCTTGGACTATGGAGCATTGGTTGCAAGCTGGAAAGCGAGATTGGTCGGCATGGCCTCACAAACCTGCTAAACCTGCAAGTTCTCTGACCATCAAAAACAGCGCAAACCCTCCTTTTTGGAATCTCCATGCACTTTGTAAAATGGTCCTGGTGACGAGCTCGTACCATGTCTTCGCCCTTCTTCTGGGTCATTGAACATGTCTTTACTGTGTACGAGCATCTCTATTTACCAATATTTACAGACCTGGGACAAACCTGGCACTTCAAGACAGCTTTTGGTCATTGAACAGCATGTTCAGAATATTTTCATTGATATTTTCCGATTTTTGAGCATCAACACTACTGTACGTAATATGGATAATTAATGATAATTATACCTTTTAAAAAGACCCAATGTTGATCCATAGCCCATAGCCAGCTTCCAAAGTTCCTCAGCGCAGCTAAGCGGCACATCCAAGGCCACGGCCACGGCTGAGAAGGCCAGCATTGGCAAAGCCAAGCGGGAAACCCAGACGGAGCAGCTGCTTGTGACATATACAAGTTGCGAATGTTTGGGAAACCGTTGAAGTGTTTTATACATAAATTCAATGAATAGTTAAGACATGTTATGAAGATTTGAACATATGATATTGGATTTGATTCTACGTCAAGGTAATTGTGTGAACTGCATGAAACTTATGGTTTTGATCTGAAATTTCCAAGTACTTGAGCATCTACCTAGGCAGTTGCAGAGTCCCTCAGGCGCTCAAAGTACGGACAGTAAGGACGTGGGTTTGTCTGAAAGTAGGATAGCCCGAATGCTAAATGAGATCGTGATTCTAAGTGAACTATGATTGCGTATTGTCCCGTATTGAAATGGCCATGACATGGGGGTTATGGCCATGATTTTCAGACAGAACTTGACAGAACCATGTTTGCCCAAAAAAGCCTATTTGTGTGTGTCCATTTGGACGCTTTCCCCAGCAAGGCAGCATCAAGACATTTACAGTTTACAATTTACATGACATAACATTACTTTTGCAATCTTTTAACCAAATCTGGTGAGACTGGCTCTGGAGAGTTTCAAATTATAGTTTTGGGTGACCCGTTACGATGAGTTTTCCAAGTGGCAACACGTAGCTTGGTGTGATGCTCTTGAAGTCAGACATGACATGCCAGCGTCTCATGGTCTGTTTTCAGGTCAAGAGTTCACCGTTGTTCTCTCCCCTGAGGCTCCAAACTTTGGCTGGAGAGTATGGAGAGCAACCTTTTTTGATCTTTTTTGGGGAGTTAGTTGAGTTAGTTGAGTTAGTTGAGTTGGTTGAGTTAGTTGAGTTAGTTGAGTTAGTTGAGTTGGTTGAGTCAGCACTTCCCACATCTCTGCTTCTGGCAGAGATTTTCCTTTGTTTGGCTTGTTTCCAATGCTAAAAATCATCCTGCAGTTGGCAGGAACACCAGGAGTATCTGCGGCGACGGCAGTTGCCCGGGTCACCACAAGGCCCAACATCGCCATCCTCGCCGTGGCTCCTTGGCCGCGGAGGGCATCCCTTGGTGGTCCTTGGTGGTCCATCATGGATAGCTTGGTGATGGATGTTCAAGGTCAACGTAGCAGCAGTTGGCATATCATGCATTTGTTTAGGGTTTGCATGACCTGTTTAATCCTGTTTGTTTTCCATTTGTCCTGCACACGCGAATCGTGAGGCCGTCTCTGGCTGCAGGGGCTTCTCCCTCGCAAGGCCAGAGAATGGAGCAAGAGAGGTAACGACGTTTTAAGCTGCCAAACCATATGTTTTTTCCATGTTTTTTCATGTGTTTTCCTTTCATACAATGTTCTCCACAATATCTTTGGTGAATTTTGGTGATATTGCACAGCATAGATGCTTGTCTCAGTCTGCAGGGAGTGTTGCAGCAAGACCATTGGTTTGACCAAAGTCACTCACATGCTGATTGTGGAACTAGGGCCTTTCACATGGTGCAGATTGGTGCAGAATCCTCGCCATGAAGAATCTGAACTTCAGAAGTAAAACAAACATGTGCCAGACAATCCCATTCTGGGCACCGATATGGACCGAACAAACATCCTTAAGACTGGGGGACTTGAGGTTGCCCCAAATATCAGAAGGCCTGGGGCTGTTTAGCCGAGAAGACTTCTGGGTTCGGTGACGGTTCACGTTTCATGTTGGCGGATGCCTCCCCCAGCATGTCATGCTTGCCTCTGTCGCGGGCAAGGCGGTGGTCAGGCAGCCGGAGGGTTGCGCGAGAGCGAAGATGGGGAACAATGGCTCCATAATTCAAAATCACAAGACCTAATTCGGGTTGGACCTTAGAAAAGTAGAGTAGATAACGACTTTTTCTGACCCGTGCAGCGAATCAATCAATCAATCAATCACTCAATCACTCACTCAATCAATCAATCAATCAATCATCTCAGCGTTTGGTCAAGGGCTGGTGTGTGGTCCAGTTGACAAGTTGCGATTGCCATTGGTATCCACCCTTGGCATCCTTTGGTCAGCAGATGCCAGGTACTGTAAGAGTATGCAGTCATTCTGAACTTATGCTGAGGTCTTTGAATTGTGATCCAGCACGTACCCAGCTATTATTGACAAGTTTGACAACACATACTTGCTCCAGACAGAGATAGTGCCTTGCATGGGACGACCAGAAACATTCAGAGGTTCAATGCTTGACCCTAAATTTCCATGCTTCCATGAAACTTTTCTGGTGGACTGGCGGTTTCAAACTGGTTTGGCATGTTCTTCCAGCCCCAGTTGGAAAGACGATCCCAACACAACCCAACCACTTTTCAAGGGTCAAGGGAGGTATCAAAGGATCCGCCTCTCACAAGGCTTCCCTTTCTGGACTACTGCAGCAGATGGCAGTGTTGCCGACATGTTGAAACCTGCAAGATGACCAGGTACCATTACCACTTTGCCGGGGCATTTTTTGGGCCGAATGTGGTTGGTGGTAGAACTACATGCTCTGACCTTTTCATGGGCAGTATGCCAAAAAGAACGTGCTTTGCTGGGCTTCAGCATAGGATCCATTGAGAAAGTACTCGTATATATCATAATACAGTATATCATAATACGGGTAACTGTAGCATCCATTCTTGGTGCCCCGAATTCATGTTACAACATGAATATGCAAACATCACATATACTTATATCAATGATGTCATACTATATCGTTCGCCACCACTCGAAGATACCCAACTTTGGCCAGGCTTCTGCGGCAGCTGCAGCTGCTACCAGCCAAAAGAGGCCATTCGCTGCTGGTTGAAGCTACTTTGGATTCTTGGTTCATGATATATGATGATACACAATACAATACAATATAATATATATATAATTACATTATATATATTATTATATATGTATTTAATATTAGTGATATTTAGTGATCATGATATGCCAGTTCAATGTAGTCCAGTTTGTTTTTTTTGGCGGGAGAAGAAGGGTTTGTTCCGGTCTCCATTTGGGTTGACGAAAAGACAACGATCGCGTCAGGACCAGCCCTACAGCAGGTCGCCCGGCGACACTGGCCACGCCAAGCATGGCAAGCACGCCGACGAGTGCATGCACTCAGTGGCTGAAGTTATCATGGTTTGTATACGGTAAATCTATGTGCGTCAAAAATTTGAGGCCCAGAAAACCCACCTTTTTTTGGTCATGTAGTTCATGGTTTGATCATGTTTGATCTTTTAAACAAAGTATGCATTTTATATTAATTTTAGTACCTATAATTCATCATCGTATAGGTCTTGTGTTGTATTTGCTTTTCGACTTCAGCAGCGGAGACAGTATAGCCTCCGGACATAAACTCAGGAGGCCTCAAGTTGATTTTGAAAGACATGGTGATTTCACGAAATTACACATACGGAACATATATGGAAATTAGATGAAATTAGGAACATCCTGTAATTCATGGAACATCATGGAAAGATGGTTCTCAAATTAGCCACCTGTTCTGCCTCCCGTTGGGGATGTTCTTCGACACAAGTCACCGATGCTGGGCGACGCCACAACATATCACTACTTCAGCTCCAGGTTTTCTGGAATTTGTGATGATTTTGACTCCAGAGGAGAGGGTTCTAATACTTTCAGTGGGGATATGGGATATGGATGGACAAAAATGATTGGTGCAAGCGCCTGAGTCTTTTGTTTTTTGCCGCTGCGCACCCTGGTGTTTCTGTTTCTGTTCTTAGTTCTTGTCAGTGTCATTGTCCGTAGCGTTCTTGGCATGCTGTTATGATTTCGGTTGCTGAATCTGTGTTACTGAGTGGATTAAATTCTACAGTCACTGTAGATTCATTGAAAATGGATGATCGATCACGCACTGCTGCCCAAGTTGATTTTGTTCATTGGTTTACAGCATTTCAGTTCAAGATCCCAGAATAACTATCATAATTAGTGTCTCTCCTCTATTGTTGGTTGTTTTGCTGCATTAAATGTTCCTGAACAGAGATAGGAGCATGCTGATTATTTGCAGCGGAGACAAGGCACCAACCTTGGGTTGTAGCTGCTGCAGTCAGACTAAAAGAGGTAGTGAAGTAGACCATAAAAATGTGGCGACTGCAGATGAACATCTAAGACACAGAGGCCTTCAGAAATTCTTCAGTTTTCACCTCATGACAGGCAGCATCCACAAGCCGCCAGGTCATTTTCTGTCCATTTTAAGGAATCTGAGAACTTCCCAGCCATGAAAAGTGGCTGGCAGAAAATATGACCATCCACTGAAGCCTACGATTTTCCCGGCTCTGAGCCGGCTCTTCGGGCACGCAGGCGACACCGGGAAGTCTCCAAGTACCTCTCCGGGTGTCACGGTCACGGCGTCGCCGTTGTCCACGTTTGAAGCCTGGAATTGCGGTTGTGACCATCGCTGGGTGCGTCGGTGTGTCAGCTCCCTAAATTCACAGATCAAATTGTGGGCTTCAAACAAAACTCTCAGCTTCTTCGCTCCCGTTGTTGGATGAATTGTGTTGAATGAATACTCAAGATAGAAACAATTCATGGAGTTATCAACTAATAATCCAGCCACTAATACTAATTGTGTTGGTGGGCCGAGCGATGTCCCAGGCCACAACTGGCAGCTTCTCCAGGTAACGGGATGGAACTTGCATTGACTCAGCATGAGACGATGGGATGGGCTGAAGAAAACATCAGTCACTAAGCACCATCAACATCCATTAATCACCATCAAACGTTAAACATCATCAACCAGCATTAGGCAAACAGTCAAACATGAACCATCATCAACCGCCATGGCGTATCCATTTGTAGTTCCCTAGATCGATATGTCTTCGACTCCCTTCTGCTTCGCCAGGATCTTCGCGGTCTTCGCGGACAAGGAGCCAGCAGGTGAGCCGAGATTAGTTTTCTTCAGGAATATAAAATGGCAATGGAACATCTCCTTAATCTTAGATGATTTAAAGATATGTATATTCAATATTAAGAAAATTTTAATGAATTTCATAGATAATTATTTGTAGAAGTCTATAGCTATTCATAGGTATTCATAGATATCTACAGGTATTCATAGAATTTCATAGACATTTATTTATAGATATTTATGAAGAATTTTGGAGGATGTTCTTCAATCTTCCAACAGTTGTGGAACTATTTTTGTGCTAGGTTAAGAGTACTGTACTGGAGGGTAAAAAGAGGGTTCCCAAATTTTCCCCAGACCATAAGGTTTTGTCAGCTTGGTCTTTTTGGTGATTGGTTGATTTTGCCGGCAATAGGTGCTGAATGAAGAGTTAACCATGGAAACAAAAAGTGACTGGCAACACATCTCAAGATGTCTCAGGATGGTACTCTTCAGCAGAAAGGCTTATATTGCCCTGTCTATATTGGATATGGTTGCAGCATGTCAACAACTTGCCGATCTTTCACCAAAAGTATTCCAAAGTGCTACCAACCAGGGAATTCTAGCAGTACGTTGGCTCACTCGTCAGGCCTCACTGGCTGGCCTATTGCAAGAAATGTCTGTCTCCGTTCCAACGTGACAGGGCAGGTCGGGCCATGGCATACTGGGATTCCCAGGGATGGTTTTGCCCCAAGATCCTTGGGCAGGGCTACATTGGCCGCTTCACTCGCGCAGATCACCTATGAAAAAGTGGTTGGAGGGAGATGAGAATATGTCAAAACTTTGAAAAAGCAAATCAACTGAGGAGATGTGGCGAAGATGTGTGGTATAAATGTTCAGAATTTTGTAGGTTGATAAGGACTCTAAGGACCTTCCTATGGAGCACAGGCGGTTCACAGAGGTGAATCGCTGCATGCTCATGATCCTCCAAACCATGATTCTTCTCGTAATTTTCATGTCAAAGATACTCTTCTTGTCGGCTTTTTTATTCAATCTTTCAGTTACAGATGATTTACTTGAACAACCTTTCCATCCATAGATATCCATAGTTTGTCATCTTGGCTAACATAGACAGTGCTCTGCTCTTTCTACCCTCTGGTAATTTAACATAGCTATGGAAAATCACCATTTTTAATGGGAAAATCCACTATAAATGGCCATTTTCAATAGCTATGTTAGTTTACCAGAGGGTAATTACTATTAATTACTAACTACTTGGTATATACAGCTGTAATTTCCTTGCCAAATCCAGTGATAGAACATCCTCCAGTCCAACCAGAGCACGATGGCCCGGCGGCCCGATGGCGTTTCACCACCAGGGTGGACTGTGCCCTTGATCCGTTGGACCTCCTGAACGTTTCCACGACAGTCACTGAGGGCATTATTTTTGTGGAGCATGCCTCACAAAAACGCTAATATACACTATTATACACTAATATACACTAATGGTCATGATATATTACATGATCATCATGATCATCATCATGATCATCATCATCATCATCATCATCATCATCATCATCATCATCATCAGCCCTCTCGGTCCACGCTTCTCGGACACAGTGCAGCCTGGTGCAATTGTTATCCACTATGGAGAAATTCCTGGCGTCCTTCGGGGTGTTTCCACAGGACGCAAGGAATGGACCTGTACGGCAACACAAGAACAGCTGCACATGAGTGAAAAGATTGTCTAAGCGTTTGTTGCAGTCAGTCATGTCTTGAGAGTGTTGTAGAAGTACGAAGTCAGGGCTTCTCTCGTAGTAAGATGATTTAGAGCTTTCGTGCCAGTGAACAATCATGAACAATCTAAACCAGATCATCTTACCAATCATCCGCGGAAGCTGAAACTGTGGTCGCGGAAGCAGCGCGGAAGACCGCGCGGAAGGCAAGTAGGATTAGAAGAGAATGACATAGGGGTTTTTGATGGTTTTTGCCAGCACTCTAATGACTTTTTGATATATACTTTTTCTAGTCGTTTCAAGTGGTTGCATTCACAGCTGCATGAAGCCCAGCCGGGATGACTTGTCCAAGAGGACTTGGTCCAGTTTTTCCTTCAGGGACCCACAAGCCCACAAGCTTGTCGCTGGAGAATTGCATACATGGACTTATACCCTCTGGTAATTTAACATAGCTATGGAAAATCACCATTTTTTAATGGGAAAATCCACTATAAATGGCCATGTTCAATAGCTATGTTAGTTTACCAGAGGGTAATTACTATTAATTACTAATTACTAGGTATATACAGCTGTCAATGCAAAACAGAAACGAAACGTTGTCTTGAAAGAAAGACAGATAAAGTAAATTGCTGTACCTAAAACCATCAAACTCAAATGACACCAATTTATGAACCAGCATCCACCGAAACACGACACACAAGACACAACTGGAAGAGACCAACAGAGACAACGACAAACAATTTGGTGAGACAGAACGAGGATTTGATATGGCAGATATTGCATGTGTATTGTGTGGCTCGTTGTCAGGACTTGCCTTTGTAGCGCAAATTACTCAAGATGAGTTTATGGGTTGTTTGTTTGAAGGATGGTTTGCCGCCGTAATGAAGCTGGCACAAACTGCATGGAACGAAGTTGAGACATTGCGAATGTGTCGAAACGCAAAACAAACACTTCACATCATCACAATAGTTGTGGGACCGGCTGCATTTATATAATGGGAGCCATGTCAGAAGAGGCCAAGACTGAACCAGGGGATCAAAGTGAGGAGGAGAAGCTCAGCGACGCAGACATCAAGTCAGAGAAATTCGAATACGATGAGGATTCTGATTCCGACGATGAGGGTCAACGTGCCGCTGCAGCGCTTCTTTGCCAGACCCTCGGCCCTT